ACTACTACATGTGGTATCACTGGTGATAAATTTAAAAATATCACAATTCTTGCCATCTTTTTTAAAAAACCAGCAAGTATGCCTTCTTATCAATACTTGACGAAAATGACAAAAGTGATAAATGTGAAAAAAAAATGTAATGTTGCTATTCGTTATTACGATAGTAAAACATGTTTGCAGTTCTGTTTATTTTTTATGGAAATCTAAGTAAAAACAACCAATGTCAAAGAATTATAATTTTTTCTCTGTTAAACCAAATATAGCACATAATTAAAAATTGATCGTAGGTCAAGCTTAAGTAATACCTTTATTGATAGTAGCTTTAAAAAAGGAGAAAGAATAATATTGACTTAAGTTATTATTATTAACATCGGTGATTTTTAATAAAAACTCTTCAATTATTGTTTACAAACAAAAATATAAAAATCTGTGAAAATTTTATTTATTAACCTTTTAATAAAAAATGAGAAAAATGAAGTAAAAAACAATTTATTTACAAATACAAAATATATATACAAATCCTAAGAATATGAAAGAATATAAAAGTACTGATTTATTTTCCTGTAGTGGATGAAGAGGTTTCTTTAACAATCTAGCCAAGTATACATCAATATTTACGCATTTTGATAAATTAGAGCCTTTCCAATAACACTAAGTAGATGTTACAGATAGTTCCTCATTTCTTCTATGAAGCCACATGTTTACAACCACCTGAAAAAAATAAAAGGGTAAGATATGGAGTTACAAAATAACTATATAAACAGCTACAAAATGCCTTATTTTATGTAACAAGACGAGCAGAGCTTTACTAGCTCTGAACGAATCCAGTAAAGAACCTCGGATTCTCTAAACTTAAAAAAAAAACAATCTCACCACATTTTCACATTTTTGAAATATAGAGCTTTTCGAAAAACACTGCTATTTTTAAAAGTAAAATTTTTTGTTTAAACAGCTATGTCTCATTTTAGGCTATTGAGTATTATAAAATAAAAAATTACGGTATGCTTTATTAGCTTCAAACGAATCCAGCAGAGCACTCCAGTTTTTTTTTTAAACCACACCACGTTTTTTGGCTCCTAAAATATAAAATATTCAAAATTTGGCATTTTACAAAAAATTCGCAATTCCTTGCTGACTTTAAAGTTTTTTTTTCTGAAAACAAATATACTTAACACATTTTTAGGATTTTAAAACAGTTTAAACATGTGTCATAAGTAGTTGTTTTTATATATAAAAAAAACAAATTAAAAAACTGAAGTGTCCTGCTGACTTTGTTCCATTATTTAAAAATAGTAATTTTTTTAGTAAAGTTTTACAATATTTCAAGACTCTAAAAATGGGGTGTGGTTTTTAGAAAAAAGATTTAAAAAACCGAATTGCTCTACTGGCTTCTTTCTAAGGTTAGCAAGCACCATGTATTTTTTAAAAATATCATTTTTTTAATGATATTTCAAGTGCATAAAAATAAGGTGTTGCTGTTTTTAAAGAAAAAACTTTATAAAACAGAGGTGCTCTGCTGACTTCGTTTGAAGCTATCAGAGCATTTTGAGTTTTGCAGAAAACGAAGACCATAAAATTTTTGAAAAGGGTATAAAAATAGCCTTAAAATATGGCATATGTTTTAACTCAAAATTTCATAGGCAGCATTCTTTGGTATCATAATTATTACTAGGTTCACTAACAAAATCTATTTCTAGATTATTTTAACACTTGCTGCGATTACAAAAAATGTCTATATGTCAAAATTAAAAAAAATATTTATAGGAATAAAGGGCCTTATACACTGTTTATTATATGTGATATAAAAACAAAAAAGCATAATAAATATTAGAAACCTTGAGATGCAGCATATCCTAAGCATTGTGCACTAAAAATTTCATTTTTGTTAATTACAACAACCACATCATAAGGTTTTTGCCCTACTTTATGTTTAGGTGTAATTTGTCCTTTTACTGTGCAAATATCTCCTTCTCTCTTAAGTTGTACATGGAAAAAGTAATAAAAGTGATTAATTTTTTAGTATTTTCAAGAGCCCTACTCTAAATATTTGGCCTAATTATTAGATATTTTTACTAATTTTTATTATTTTTCTGTGTTCCAAATTATTTCATAAAACATAAACATAATAAAAGAGTGTATGTACCATTACAAAAAGAAGATATGCATATACAAAAATATACTTAAATTACAATATTATTTACAATGATATGTAGCAAGTAGGTAATTTTCAACCAAATAAAAACCGTATTGCAGTAAATACTTACACCCTACCCTTCTAAATACATTTTTAGACATTATTTAGTTTTAATTTTTGAGGTAAACATGATATATTATGTTTTACTATAAGGTGTATACTGTAACTACCTACTATTAAAACAAATTTAATTATAAATAAAGTCTTACCTTTCTGTCTTTTGTAAACTGAGTATTGTTAAAAAATGCAGTAATCATCTCGGTAATCATATTTTGGTTTACAATGGGTAAAATACTTGATTCAACTTTTATAAATCCAGCTGTAAAAACTAATGTTAGGTTAGGTGATGTCAATTTTAATGTCACTTAGAGGTGCGTTCACTTCGACATTCTGTGTGTCGGTTTGTTCGTTGGCTTGGTTTTGTATAACAAAAAAAACTTCGACACAAGCTGATTGGTCTATTTCCGATGACGTATAATTTCAAATTCTAAATTTCAATTGGGCTTAATTTAAAAACTTTTGGCATTTTTAACGAACTGATTATTTAGAATAACTTGTATAGCGACTAACTATTACAATATAATTTATAAAACATCATATCTCACATGTGAACATGGCCCATTACCTATTTAAAGTTTAAAATAAAAATTTCTTACTCAAAATTAAAATCTGATTAGCCAAATATATACCTGGAATGTCTGTGAACCAACCTTCCTATATATGGTTAACGTACTTAATCGTATGCAGTTATTACTTATTTTATACTTGGAATTTCCTTTGTTCCGATCTTCTTATACCTGCTTAATAGCCACTAATTAATCTTAGAAACATAGTACCTTCTGTATGTAAATTTTTGTAGTGTTAAATCTAAAACAATAGCATTCACAAGCAGACGCAGCTGTGTAACCATCCAGATGTTTTTTGTCATGCATGTGTCGAATACCCTTTGAAAGAAAGTAAAAAACTAGTTATAACCTTGTGAAATAGGCTTATCTTGCCTATTTTGGCTTTCATTTGGGCTCCACATGTGTTGAACATTGTGACAGTGGACAATTGGAAAGAGGAAGTGCCTAAAGTTTGGTGTAACAATGGTTTAGAGGGAACCACGTAACCTTTATGATGAGTGCTTGTTTTGTCTCGTTAATATTAAAGGCATGAATAGGAGCAATACATACAAATGGACATATGCTGATCTATATTCTGCAAAAAAACTGTACTACACTCGGAAGAAATACCCATTCCATCCTTCAGCAGTCTTCTTGAACTCCCGGAAGATGATTCAGAAACATCAACGGGGGATGAAGTTCAAAGAATTCAATCAGAAAACGACAGTAAATTTGAAACTAATTTAACAATTCAAGCGTTCAATCAACAAGAACTGAACGATCTCATAAGAGACCTACAACTCTCGTAGGAGTTTGCTGAATTACTTACATCCAGATTAAAAGAACAAAACCTTCTTTATGTAGGTACTAATATTACATTTTATCGTAAAAAAAAGATAAAGTTCTGCTGCTCTTCTTCACTCAGCAAAATAATGATATAAAAGGACTTTTTTAAAAAATTTGTATATCAGAATACACTCCAAACGATTGGCGCCATTTTATTGACCGTCAAAACGTAGTTTAAAATGTGTGCTTTTACATAACGATAACAAATATGGCTTAATTTTTATTGGTTATTCTACTACTATAAAAGAGGATTACGAACAATAGCACTATAGATCAAAAATTAAATAAAAAGAACATCAGTGAGCAATTTGTGTTGATTTAAAAATAATCTTCCTCCTTGAACAGCATAGTGAATATACAAAATATTCCTGTTTTTTATGTTTTTGGAACAGCAGAACTAAAAATCAGCAATGTCTTAACAGAAATTGGCATTTAAGAGATGTTATGGTTCAAGGTTACAAAACGTATTCAAAGAATCTTTGGTTATGAGGAAAAAATCTTATACCGCCCTTGCATATCAAGTTGGGGCTTATAAAGCAATTTGTGAGAGCTTTAAATCGAGATGGAAATTGCGTTGGGTACTTGTAACGTAAGTTTTCTGGGATTAGCATGAAAAAACTAAAAGCTGGTATATTTGGTGGTCCTCAAATAAGGCAATTTATTAAAGATCTCCTATTTATTCATTTATTCAAGTAGTACAAATTTTTTTTGTGAATTATAAAGGCAAGAATTACATAGAATTAGTGGAAACTATGCTTTCAAATTTTAATATTCTCGGTTGTAACATGAACATAAAAGTTCAACTACCTCCACAACCATTTAGATCGCTTTCAAGAAAATTTAAGTGATTGTAGTGAAGAACAGGGAAAAGGACATTAAAACTATGTAAGATCGATATCAAGGACGATGGGATAGCCATATGATGGCCGATGGCCTTCAGCGAGACTGCCCTAGTAAACTACATGTTAGAAAGTCGTATAAAAGAAAATTTTTAGGTGATAAGTGACTAATGTGAGTACGAATGTATATGAATGTACTTTTTGTTATAAATACTTAATCTGAAAAAAAGTATCTCTTAAAATTTGCAAGCTGCGTTCAAAAATTTGCATTCCTGTTGAAAATATTGAACTTTAAATTATGCCTAAAAATCTCTGTGTAAGTTCGAGTGGCCAGCAGTTTAGTTAAAAAATAGAAGTAAAAACTGCCTATCTTAAAAACTAGATCTGATAGACGAATTCTGATGGCTATTATGGATTCTGCACCCAAAAGTTAACCGGGAACAGTTAAAAAATTGCAGGCATCAAAATGTCTGTTGGCTTGTGTTTTCGTAAATAATTAACACATTTTTATTTCAGAACAAAGGATCGAAAAAATTGAAAAAGAAAAACTCCAAAAAAGTAAAACGTATTGCGAATTAGGTAAATATATGAATATATATATATACGGGGTATCTCAGAATATGGGGCAATTTTCCAGAATCGTTAGAATACAAATAAAATATGTCCCCATAATTTTTTTCATATTGACCATTCCCCCTCCTCCTACAGAGATACTTGATATTAACGGACGCCTGTGGAAATCGAGTTCCGTACCCGATTTCAACCAACGGGGCCCTATTAGCCTCCGCTGTCCGTCTATCTGTATGTCTGTCAGCGGGGTGTATCTCACGATCCGTAACAGGTAGACAGTTGAAATTTTCAGAGAATGCATTTTTTTGCCGCTATAACAACAAATAATAAAAATAAATTAAAAAAAAATCATGATTCATATACTTTCCTTATCTGTAAACAGATAGGAAAGTAATTACTGGAAACGTGCTTTTTTGCATTTATTTTTGCTTTTTGCTTTTTGCTTTTTGCTTTTTGCTTTTTGCTTTTTGCTTTTTGCTTTTTGCTTTTTGCTTTTTGCTTTTTGCTTTTTGCTTTTTGCTTTTTGCTTTTTGCTTTTTGCTTTTTGCTTTTTGCTTTTTGCTTTTTGCTTTTTGCTTTTTGCTTTTTGCTTTTTGCTTTTTGCTTTTTGCTTTTTGCTTTTTGCTTTTTGCTTTTTGCTTTTTGCTTTTTGCTTTTTGCTTTTTGCTTTTTGCTTTTTGCTTTTTGCTTTTTGCTTTTTGCTTTTTGCTTTTTGCTTTTTGCTTTTTGCTTTTTGCTTTTTGCTTTTTGCTTTTTGCTTTTTGCTTTTTGCTTTTTGCTTTTTGCTTTTTGCTTTTTGCTTTTTGCTTTTTGCTTTTTGCTTTTTGCTTTTTGCTTTTTGCTTTTTGCTTTTTGCTTTTTGCTTTTTGCTTTTTGCTTTTTGCTTTTTGCTTTTTGCTTTTTGCTTTTTGCTTTTTGCTTTTTGCTTTTTGCTTTTTGCTTTTTGCTTTTTGCTTTTTGCTTTTTGCTTTTTGCTTTTTGCTTTTTGCTTTTTGCTTTTTGCTTTTTGCTTTTTGCTTTTTGCTTTTTGCTTTTTTTTTGCTTTTTGCTTTTTGCTTTTTGCTTTTTGCTTTTTGCTTTTTGCTTTTTGCTTTTTGCTTTTTGCTTTTTGCTTTTTGCTTTTTGCTTTTTGCTTTTTGCTTTTTGCTTTTTGCTTTTTGCTTTTTGCTTTTTGCTTTTTGCTTTTTGCTTTTTGCTTTTTGCTTTTTGCTTTTTGCTTTTTGCTTTTTGCTTTTTGCTTTTTGCTTTTTGCTTTTTGCTTTTTGCTTTTTGCTTTTTGCTTTTTGCTTTTTGCTTTTTGCTTTTTGCTTTTTGCTTTTTGCTTTTTGCTTTTTGCTTTTTGCTTTTTGCTTTTTGCTTTTTGCTTTTTGCTTTTTGCTTTTTGCTTTTTGCTTTTTGCTTTTTGCTTTTTGCTTTTTGCTTTTTGCTTTTTGCTTTTTGCTTTTTGCTTTTTGCTTTTTGCTTTTTGCTTTTTGCTTTTTGCTTTTTGCTTTTTGCTTTTTGCTTTTTGCTTTTTGCTTTTTGCTTTTTGCTTTTTGCTTTTTGCTTTTTGCTTTTTGCTTTTTGCTTTTTGCTTTTTGCTTTTTGCTTTTTGCTTTTTGCTTTTTGCTTTTTGCTTTTTGCTTTTTGCTTTTTGCTTTTTGCTTTTTGCTTTTTGCTTTTTGCTTTTTGCTTTTTGCTTTTTGCTTTTTGCTTTTTGCTTTTTGCTTTTTGCTTTTTGCTTTTTGCTTTTTGCTTTTTGCTTTTTGCTTTTTGCTTTTTGCTTTTTGCTTTTTGCTTTTTGCTTTTTGCTTTTTGCTTTTTGCTTTTTGCTTTTTGCTTTTTGCTTTTTGCTTTTTGCTTTTTGCTTTTTGCTTTTTGCTTTTTGCTTTTTGCTTTTTGCTTTTTGCTTTTTGCTTTTTGCTTTTTGCTTTTTGCTTTTTGCTTTTTGCTTTTTGCTTTTTGCTTTTTGCTTTTTGCTTTTTGCTTTTTGCTTTTTGCTTTTTGCTTTTTGCTTTTTGCTTTTTGCTTTTTGCTTTTTGCTTTTTGCTTTTTGCTTTTTGCTTTTTGCTTTTTGCTTTTTGCTTTTTGCTTTTTGCTTTTTGCTTTTTGCTTTTTGCTTTTTGCTTTTTGCTTTTTGCTTTTTGCTTTTTGCTTTTTGCTTTTTGCTTTTTGCTTTTTGCTTTTTGCTTTTTGCTTTTTGCTTTTTGCTTTTTTTTTGCTTTTTGCTTTTTGCTTTTTGCTTTTTGCTTTTTGCTTTTTGCTTTTTGCTTTTTGCTTTTTGCTTTTTGCTTTTTGCTTTTTGCTTTTTGCTTTTTGCTTTTTGCTTTTTGCTTTTTGCTTTTTGCTTTTTGCTTTTTGCTTTTTGCTTTTTGCTTTTTGCTTTTTGCTTTTTGCTTTTTGCTTTTTGCTTTTTGCTTTTTGCTTTTTGCTTTTTGCTTTTTGCTTTTTGCTTTTTTTTTGCTTTTTGCTTTTTGCTTTTTGCTTTTTGCTTTTTGCTTTTTGCTTTTTGCTTTTTGCTTTTTGCTTTTTGCTTTTTGCTTTTTGCTTTTTGCTTTTTGCTTTTTGCTTTTTGCTTTTTGCTTTTTGCTTTTTGCTTTTTGCTTTTTGCATTATTAAAAAATAATTAAATTACACAAATTACTCAAAAAAACGTCCGTTATGAGCTTATCTCTGTAGGGAGGGACCGTAGAAAATAAATTTATAGGAAACTGTCGTTGTTATTACTCCATCTCAATTTGGAAGATTTCCCACATATTCTGCCTGTATAGTTTTTGTAAAAGAAATAAATGTTAATTATTAAATATTTACAGCGAAGCGTGAGAAAATTAAAAAAACACGTGGCCAAACTGCAGTTGCAATTATCCATAATCCTCCATGTCGTAAGTAAAATTTTTATATATCATGTTGGTACTATCTCTCTTTAGCATTGACGGAATGTGTGAAATAAACAATTCTTAAAAAAGAGTATTGTTGAATTGTATTACAGAATAACTATAATATATATTTTGTCAGTGTATGTCATCATTATTTTTGTCATTTTAAAGTGAAATTTTTTGTTGTTTACACTGGCTTAATATTTAACATGAAGAGATTTTTAAATGCAGTAAAATCTTTTAAATGCGAATTAAAACTAAATTTTGCATGTCATTTTTGACATTTACTTTTAAAATATTTTGATACTATGAATGAACCTACGTTTAGTAACTAATAGTTACTAAAAGAAATAATGGGTGTGTTTAGTGTAAACGAATTTAACGAATCTAATGCTATTAACTAGTTAAGAACAAAAAAACTTTTTTTTTCATGCAATAAATACTTTAAATAGATAATAAATAATAAAATTATAGTACATTAAAAAGTTCATTTTTAAATCAATTATTTAAAACGATATTTTTGTGTCATTTACCGCGTCATAATGAAGCTCCTATTTCTATTGGCACTAAAGAATGTGTGATACCGTAACACATACAGTTGATCGTTATCTTTTTCTAAAAATCGGATTAAAATTATGTTTTCATTTTTCATGATACAAAAATGTTAAAATTTCTAACCTCAAATCGACTGTTGGAAACAATATATTGAAATTGCTTTTAAAAAGTGTGATAAAATAAACATTTGTTTAATTTTGCGTTATATTAAAAATATCTAGTTATATTTATAAGTACTTGGTCTGTTACGGCTTTTTGGCACACTTATATATTTTAGTGATCAGTTCAATAGAAATACTTTTTAAAATTCGATATTATTCTTAATTTTCTATGAATTTAGCTTACCTTTTAATTATGTCCAGCTTCTTGTTAATTTTTTTAAGAATTCTTAAAGTACAGTTTTTTTATAAATAATTATTCACCCTATTCATAATTCATATTAATAATCTCTGTTTCTATAAAAATTAACCCCTTAATTGGGAATTGTTTATTATTTTTACTTAACATTTAAGAATTAGGTTAATAATTTTAAATGACACCTCAGGTTTACCAAAATAATTAGAATCTGCAAATTAATAGTAACATGGCCTTGACCATGTGTCTGTCCTCTATTAATTAACATAATACAGGAAAATATAATTTATTAGAATATATAAAACAAAAGAAGAATATTATTTTTTATGGAACTAATGGTACTATGACCTTGACCGTGAATCTATCCTTTATTAGCTAAGTCAATAAAGTAGGAAACATATATTTTATTAGAGTGTTTGCAATAAAAGAACAACATTTTAATATATTAATTTTGGACTTCGAATATAGTATATAGCATTCCTTGTTCAGACTGTGAAAACGTTTATATAGGTCACTCGTCCAGATGCTTATCTGGGCGCATATCTTCCCATAGGAGTGATTGCAACAAAAAAAAGTTGTCCTGTGCCTTAGCAGACCACGTAATCAACACAAAACATACTATGAATTTCAGTGAAACTAAAATCCTCGCTAAAGAACCTAACTATACCAAGAGGATCTTTTTAGAAATGGTCCATATTCACAATACTAAAAATACACTCAATAAAAAATCTGATGTAGCCAATTTAAGCAAAATTTACAATTATTTACTCTCTTTGCAAAATTAAACATTATTATAAAAAAAAAACTAAAATTTTTCTTTTCTCATTAACAATTTCTTTTTTAACTTTCTTTTTTCTTCTTTTCTCTTTCCAATCATTAAATCAACAATATCAAATTAATTTTCCATTTCTTTGCATTTTAATTATTCATTTTCTGTTGGAAATTTTTGTAGAAATATTTTAATAACATTACACAAATAAATTCAAATAATTCTTTTTATTAACGTAGATTCGAAAATATTATAATTGTATCCAGCTCGTTATTTCCTTCAAACAACTTGAAAGTCATTGGGTTTTTGCACATGTTGATAAATTTCGTATTCGAACACCGGTTTTGCTCAGTTTTAACGTAAAAATCAACGATGATGGATTTAAAATTCAACTAATAAAATTTTCTCAGTCTTCAATGTTTAACCATAGTGAATCTTTTTTTTTTGTTTTATATAATGTATAATGTTAACAAGAAAAGTTTTTAATTGTGTATTTGATGTCAACTTTTTCTTTTAATCTCAGTTTGGTGAGTAAATTAGTTTATTCTGTTTTTGTAACTAATTTTTAACAACGATTTTTGTATTCATTGTAGATGTTCTGATGAAGGAAATAAACATTTTCCGAAAGCTTAACAAACAAAAAAGAGTGCATTTTATTTACTAAAAAGCCCTCCATATCTTTGACTGCATCCCCAAGATATTTCTATATTTTTTATATATATATATATATATATATATATATATATATATATATATATATATATATATATATTGTTATGAAAACTATTTAACCTCACAATTTATAATTTACAATAACCTGATCTTACCTCGGCTAGCTTTATATTTTATCACTTATTTTAAATAGAACAGATTCTCTTCTTCTCGGTGGTGTCGGTTCTGAATTATAATATATATTTTTTTTAATTTATTGAAATTTAGTTTATTTAATTTTATCTTATTTTAATTTTATTTGTCAATAACAAAAAAAAAATATAAAAAAAAATATGACTTGACCTGTTTTATCCAAATAAATAAACAAATTTTCAACACCAATTCACAAAATTTAATTTTAGACACAATATTAGTTCTCAAGCTCAAAATTACAAATTATTTAAAATACCCCGCTATTTACATTTAATTGGGGATGATCCTATATTATTAAATCTAGACTAACTTCATTCACTCTTCATTCACGCCTATACTATATACTAATATTTAAGACTACAAAAAAATATATTAACTACTACTACTACTACTACTGTCTTTTCTCGCACAAATTATTTCTTAAAAAAAAAAACGGAAGTTATTTTATAAATTACTCACAGTTTACTTGTAATAATTGTCTATCTCCACAAATATTCTATTATCCTTGCTTTATCTGTCTTTTTGAGTATCTTCTATACGTATTCTTTCCGGAAACACAATTACTAATTTTTTTTTTTTTTATTAGCTTGTACCATCCATATACATTTATATATTTGATCATTCAAAATTTGTTTATTTTAGTATGTTCTTATAGATCGGCTTTACCATTCGTTTTTATGTTTTAAAAAATAAAAATCGTTTTTAATCATTTCTGACATTTTTTTTTTTAAATTTCAAAAATTGACAATCCATCAATCTCCACCACCTAGAAAACCCATGCTTTTTACCTACTTTCCCCAAAGTCTTCACTAATGACTTTCTTATATGAATTTTTACTATACAGGGTTGTAACCTTTTCTTATTATTATTATTATTTTATTGTTATTAATATTAGTATGGTAATTATTATTAGTTTTGTTATTATATTGATATAGGGTGTTATTTTATTATAACTTATAACAATTTTTTACATTATTATTATTTTTACTACTATTATTATTTTTGTTATTATAAGTTAAGACCTATATCCTTTTCATTACAATATATATATATAAACTTACCTATAATTGCTGAAGCCCCTTGATTCAATCAAATTTAGCTGTGAGCCTTTTTATCTCTTATAATTTGTATTATATGGTTGCCTTTATTTACAACAGGAGATAGATGGTTATAATTATCCTTTGATTTACTCTGTACATAATCTAATGAATTACGTTTGAGTTGATTACTAAAAGAATAAACCTAATCAATCAAGAAATATTATTTTATTATTTGTTTATTTACCAAGCCTTTTCTTCCCTGAGATAAAAGGTAGAACCCACGATAGCCGCATTAAGGCGAAACCTTTTGCAGCTAACAGGTCCCTATGAGCAATAAAAAAAATCAGTCAATCTGATAAAATGTTTATAAAAGTTCCTCAAAATCTAGACCTAGACATTCAAAAACGATAGTGGGCTAAGGGCTGTTGCAAAATACGAACTACCATCGTTCTTCTGTATTTATTTTGATGTACCTAGTTGATCAACTAGTAGGTCGATATAGGTACTTAGGTACCTTTTTACATTACACTGATTCTGAGGGTACTATTTGGTTTGCATTATTTTTTAGGTGGAAGAACATCTAAAAAACTGGATCCATTTCAAAATTATAGATAAACATTTGACAATAAAACAAGATGTGCCTCATATACCACCTAAAATTTCTATTAAAGGCTCTTTAACTGACCCTGCCAAAAAAGGATTGAAAATTTGAATTGTATTGTCATTCTATATATAAATGTTATTAATTGCTTAAACGATTATAATAAAGCTTATCTGTTATTTATTGTACAAAAACTTAATTTATTAAACTTATAATGTTCAGATATGTTTCTAATATTAATATGAATTTAACAAAAGCTAATACAGTTCATCAAATTTCTAGAGGCTTTCGACGGCTAGACAGAGAAAGCACTACTGACAGGCATCTCGACGGATTTACGCAATGAAAGTACACTCTGCGCATCAAGTATTTCACTATTTCATTCAGACGTAAATGTCAGATGTAAATTTCGCTAAAACATTTCTTTTATTTTCGTTTGTGTTTTTTGCTCATTACAGTTTAATAGAACCTATAGAAAGTATGGAGTTTAATAGCAAATTAAGAGGCCGCGTGATTAACAGTCAATCTCGCGAAATAATAGCCAATGTTATAGAGTTTATGAGAAGAGAAGGAAACTTTAATTCACCTTCAATACCATTTAAAAATGTAAATGATCGTGTTGCTGCAGCCACAGGAGTATCTAAAAACACTGTCGTCCGCATTTCTGGAGAGAAAAAAAGAATCGATAACCGTGAGATATCGTAATTTTCATCACCAAGAAAAACCATTAAAAAACCAAAAACAGTTAATGATATAGATGAAGCTGCACAAGAATCAAATTTTATTTTTTTATTATTAGATAGCTATTTTTGTTTCTGAGTTGTGTTCATTTACAGGCTCAATTTTTTTCCGTTTCTCCTTTTTGATTTTATATGGGGTTTCAAGTTGTTTTTGACTTATTTCGACGTAAATCACAACAACACACTTTTAATAAAGCAAACAAGTGTTAAGAGGTATATGTACGTGTAAACTACAATTACAAAACATTGATATGAAACCTATGAAACCACCAACAAAAATGTAAAACTAGCTTCCGTACTAGAACATGGTGTCATTCGTCGAGATAATTTATCGTTTTGTTTAATAGATCAAGAAATGTAAATATTCCTCTGTTATTTTTTATAAAATTATAAGAGAAATAATTTTTTTTCTAAATAGTATAGTTTATTATTTTGTAGAAAAACAAAATTTCGAAAATTTTAGTAATGTTTCAGAAACAACCGTTATTAATAATAGGTACCATTTTCCTTAATAAGGTAGAAATAAAATATAAACTATTTCCACGATTTACAAAGGCCTACAAAAAAATTATAGGTATTTTCCGCTATCCTATAAAATTTATATTTTCTGACTCAATTTCAAAAGGTTGAAAGAATTCCAAAACACCTTTTATGGCATAATAATTATTTTCAATTCTACATACTATCTTTAGCTGCTTTTAAAAACGTTCTAAGAAAGTCCAATCAGACCAATTTAATCCCTAAACTATTCCACACTTTTAAAATTTAATTACCTAAAAATATTAAAAACTATTTAAAATAACTTGTTTAGCAGACTGTACAATAGCTATCTTAGTCACACGTAGCGCGTTCTCTGTCTGGGCGTCGAACACCTCTAGAAATTTGATGAACTGTAGATGTATTTAAAATACAATTCCTATAAAATATGCAAATCATTTGTTTTTTTTTTAATTCCGATAATTTTGCGAAATTTATACAAACTGCACAAAATTAAATGCCTTGCTATACCTATACAGTAAACTGTCAATGTCTTACCATTATTAAACCTTTTTAAAATACTCGAGTAACGGCAATTGATAAATAAATATAAAGAAAATGACAAAACTTAGTTTTATTTAAATTCATTAGAAATATATAACACTGTTCCAAAAAATATTTGGTGGCTTCAGAATATCATTTAGTTCTTGTTCATCAAAAATAAACTTCTAATATTTGAACTATTTCAAAATTTGGAGATTCTACACAAAAAATCCCATTATGTTTCTTAGAATGCAACATTTGCAGTTGAATATGGAAGTATAATTTTCGCGTCACTTTGTACTGGATATGAATCTATTCACTCTTATTATTTATAAAAAGCACACATTTAATGTTTTCAATTCGAAGAAGAATTGACACCCTCAAATAATTACAACTTCAAACTTTTGACAACAGTGGCGTTTTCTAATAACACAATGTTAATGTAATGGAAGGTTATTCACTTCGATGGTATTCAGAAGCCACAACAAGAAAGCAACACTATGTTTGCACCCATCCTAAAAAAATAGGACAATGTAAAATCATTTAATACTTTATTTTGAGCCTTTTAATATTGACAGGAATTGAAATTACTTTCGAAAACAGAATATTCTGTGTATTTACAAGATATGACCTTTTCCTTCTGTTCATTTACTACTGAATAAAGCTATAAACTTTTTTATGTTCTAGTGTAATTTTAACCTTAATGTTACAAATGGTAACCGAACATTTGATAGTGCACTTTCTTGATAGAATAGTAAACCTACAATAGAACAGAAAAATGTCAACAGTATTGAGTAGTGAGTTTATATAATAAAAAAATGTTTCTTTCTTAAACACAAATCTCTTTGAATACAATAATTCTAAAAAGATTTGGAGCTTAGAAAGTGTACTTACGTTGTGAATTTCAGAGCCAATAAACTTTACATTATTTATACAAAAAATCATTAATCATGTTATCGTGGGTGTGTTGTCTAAAGATTCTTCTTTTAATCCTGTCTGTACTTTGGACATTTTTAAAAAATTAAATAACAATTTTAAATAAATCAAAATAATCTCGCAATCGAAAACGAGGTAAGGATTTAGACGCACGGATGAAACCACTTTGCCAGACTTAGAGCAAATATTTCGCGATATGGCGATTATGATTTAAATAACATTTCGAGTAAAAAGAAATTTTATCAATATCAATATCAATAAATATTGTTTTAGTTTTAATACATATGTTTTTATGTTAAATTATACGATCTTAACCTTTAAATTGTCGTTTATCCGGAATTTCAATAATTCTTTATAAGTAGCGGCAACAAGGTAAAAACATACCGACTATTTTCTGGATGGAAAAAAATTAACCAATGAGATTTTAGGCTTCATTATGACGATGTTTAAAAATCACTGTGGCGCGCGTTTCAAATTTGCTTGAATTTTTTATAATTTTAAATAATGCTTGTACGAAAATTTTAAAAGAAAACTATTTTTAGATTATATTTTGTGCTAGTTTTTAGAAAAAAATATTTTTAAATTTCACTAAACATGCCCATTGGAACTTCCACTGAGGGAATAAAAACACTATTAATACGAGTATAATTAATACATTCCAATCTTTAAAAAAAAAAGTAAAAGAAGAAAACAAAGACCAGTTTTTCCTTATCAATTTAAATAGAGAGTTATTGCAAGTTCAACTAAGTTCAGTCACTCTTAGCGTCACTCCTATTTTGACATCTGAGCATGCGCAGATTGTTTGCGTTCTAGAATTGACTTTATTAGAGATTGTGCCTGCCTTTAATTGTGGATGTTTAAGGACAGCAGATAGTGTCGATTTTATAGCTTTCGGGTGCACTCGCCGACATTCGTATTAGTAGAAGTTTTTTAATATTAAATATTGTGATGTTGATTTTAAACAACAGTTTATTTGTAAATAATTTATTTAAACACTTATTTATTTTATAACACTACTATTCTAATTTATATATATTTCGAAGTCTCTAAATTGCTTGCTATTTATCTTTACCGCTGTTTGTATACTAATGATTGCCTGTGTTCCTCCACCAATATATATATATACACAAATTTTAAATTTTTGGTGGGCTCCAGAACGTTCTCGCCAAAATTAGAAATATTATCACGTTGACCCTGGAATGTACTCGAAAAGCACTTCCACCATAGTCGTCACATATGTTTGGTATTAAGGGGTTTAATTATGTATGATAATCGGTCAAGTTGAGCCTCAAAGGCCAAATAAGACAGAGAGGGACTTGAAGAATTAGAGCATGACTGAACAATGAAATGGCTCACATTACAATATCATTGTTATCTAAACCTTCTGAAATGATAATTGTTAATGTCTCTTCCATATTATGTACTATTATAGACAACAAAAAAGATGTATCGTAATTTAAAATTTTTAAAATGAGGTTAGAAATATGTATAAGGACAAAGAATCTAATGTCAAAACTTTAGGTTTGCAATAATTCTTATTTTAACATGGAATTTATTTGCCTCTAATTAGGTTGTCACTATTAGTGGCTGACGTTATAGATATTTGCAATATCTCTCTATTGTCTTGTTTGATAATATTTTTTTTTCTTCGTTTTTCTTTTTCTTCTACTTTTTTTTATTTATTTTTCTTCATTTTCTACTTTTTTTCTTATTTTTCTTCTTTTTACTCTTGCTTTCCTTCTCTTTCTTCTTCTTTATCTTTTTAACATTTTCTTTTTGTTAATCATACTCAGATTATACCAATACCGTTTGTGATTCATTTCTTATTTTATCAATTTTCTGTTTAGCCATTACGATAAAGAATTTGTATATTTAATAAGTAGGTACATTAATTACTGAATGGAAGTAAATAAAAATATAGTTAGTATGTTTATGTAAAAAGATATATAATTTTAGCAACAAGAACAAAACAGTACAGCAGAGATGGAAAGCCTGGTAAGTAATTTCCCTTTTCCTACTTTTATTCTATTTAAATTTACTAATATACAGGTTGTTTCTGAATAAAGTACCATAAACTGGAGGCCTTGTAGATCTTTACTATTCAAGAAAAGCTAAATATACTTTACATAATTTTTCAAATATCTTCCCTTACGGTAAAGCCTTTAACTTCAAAATATGTAGTTGTTAGTTAATCACCATTAATAATTAATACACTTTATTTCAATAAATTACGATAACCAAATGGCGTAGAATCAAAGGTTAAAAAAATTTTAATCCAAACTTTTTAAACACCTTATATTACATAAAAGTTAAGATTAATAATTATTCTACAGTAATTTGTTACAAAAAAGGGACTCTTGGTTGATCTCTGTAGAACATTCCATTTTCGAGACTTTTAGTTCTCAAACATGGAATCTATGTAAAATTTTATCAAGGACCCATTTCATAATGAATATGAAAAGGTCAGTTATCTAATGGGACCAAGATTTTATGGATTTACTGATCATATTAGTTAATATATGTTTTAACATTTATTATGAAATCGGCTCTTATTAAAAATTTGCATTTGTACAGGGTTTTTCATTATATTTTGACCGCTACTTATATACATTATTATTGCGAACACAAAAAAAAGTTTTAAGTAAAAGCTTTGTTGTTTTACTTGTACCAACTAAAAATGTAATAACTGGCAGAATTGTATAGACAGCGCGCCTCCAACAAAATATAATTTCATTCTTTTAATGGGACATCCTATATATTTTTGTCATTTTAAATAGACTTGCATTTCCTGATTACAAATATATAATATTTTAATTATTTAGTGACTTATTGCACAATGAAAGCGTAACGCATAGATGGCCATGAAAAATGTTTCCAAGTAAAACAGTTGTTTGTTAATTAAAAGTTGTCAGTTGATTGCTTGTAATGGGTTATACTGTGGCCGAAAAAGTTGAGGTAAAACAACAAATCTTTTACTTGAAACTTTTTTTGTGTTCACAATAATAATGAAAATAAGTAGTGGTCAAAATATAATGAAAACCCCTGTATAGATTTCATGTCTGAGTAGTTCTAAAACTGAAAAATCTTGAAAATGGAATGTTCTGCATAGATCAACCAAGAGTCCCTTTTCCGTGACAAATTATGTGAGGAATAATTATTACTAATCTTAACTTTTACGAAATTAGGATATTCAGAAAGTTTGGCTTAAAATTGTTTTCTTAACCGTTGAGTCTACGCCAATGGATTATTGTAATTTGTTGAAGTAGAGTGTGTTAAGTAATAATGACTATTACATACAAATTTTTAAGTTAGACTTTACCGTAAGAGACGTTATTTAAAAAAAATAATTATTCATGAAATTCACTTTATCATCCTGTAGAATGAAAACTGGGACTTTCACAGGAAAATTATATTGAACTTTTCTTAAAAATTGGTTAAGATCTACAAGCCCCCCAGTTTACGGTACGTTATTCTGAAACACACCCTGTATATATGATTATTAAGGACAATCTAACTTGACTAATTATTTTATTTTCAAGATTCTGGATACAATAGCGAAGATAGAAAATCCATGATTGAATCTGTAAAATCAGGTATTATAATTAAAATTATTTAATTATTAACATTATAAAAAATGATACTCTCGGAGAAATATTGAAAATTTCTATGTCAGCCACTAATAATGACAACGTAATTAGAGACAAATAAATAACATGCTAAAAAAACTTAAAGTTATTGCAAACCTGATGTTTTGACATTAGAGTCATTGTCCAATCCTTGTATATTTTCTCAATAAAAAATCCTCTTCTTCATATTCTAGTAAGATTATAGCAGCGAGTTGTTTTCGATCTATATCAAACGAACGTCAGCACTCAACTGAAATGCGAACGCAGACGGTTTTAACCATAGATAAATTAATAAAACACGATGAATGTTTTAAATGCACGCCACTGTCAACACGTTGTAGTTCCCAGCATACTATTAGTTAGCCACACACTGATCTGCAGGGTTATTCTACTAAATTTATAGCCCGGCTACAAGTTGGATTTTGGCTTGAACTTTATATGTTCCTAACTTCAAAATCCAACTTGTAGCCGGGCTATAAACTTTTAGCCGGGCTATAAATTTAGTAGAATAACCCTGCTGTATTATTTTACTGGATAGGATATAGCCCCCTAAAAAACGTTCCGAAAAATTGGCCGATTTGGGCAAATAATATGGCGGACCGGATGTTATTTAACATAACCTCTATTTCCATTTCTCATCACATTTGTCATTTAATTGTGTCAACAAGTTACGTTGAGATGTGTTTTTATTGTGGAAAACAAAGTGAAAAGAGTAACCGTACTCTTCATAGGTAAATAAAACTATTATGTTTATAATAATTTGTTAATAGATCTAACTATTTTGTTGAAACAAACTGAAACAATTACTAATTTACACAAGCATACAAGAATACAAATAACATTTTTCGATTAAATGATAAAAACTGAAGGGAATTATAACGATTATTACTAAATGAAATAATGTTCTTGTTATTTAAGGTTTCTACAGAATTGGAGCTTTTGGGGAAATGGCCGAAGAGTATGGATATGACCAATTTTAATATTGTAAGTTCGATTATGTTTAGACCATTTTAAGCTATCCTGCATTGATAAAACACAAACGAAGACTGCATTTAAAAATATTAGGTACTTTATATCTTTTTACATTAATAAAAATATTACAAGAAATATAAATGTTTATTTTTTTACCTTTTCCCATGATTTCCTCTATTTCATTTAAAATATATATAAATCAATATTTACATAATTGTAAAAATTATGTAAAGCCATTAAATTTGTTCTTTATTTAATTGTAAATTACATTCGAATAGTCTACATAAAATTACCTACATTATTCTTCAAAAATTCTTAATATAAATCATGTTCCTGAAAACACTACTAGATCAGTTCCAATTCTAATCGCTTTAGTTGCATGAATCTATATTGTTCTCTCTGTTAAACATTTTCACAGGTATTGTTTATATCTTCTACATCTATTAACCATATTATTATCCCTGTTCTTCCTGGTTTTATTGTAACAAAGGCAAACTCACCGATTCTCGTTTCATATTTGTTCCCTAAAGTGATTCGAGCATCTATGTAGTTCTAGCTCGAGACTGATTTCTATTACCAATATCTCCTTTTAGTTGTAGTCCTTATAAGTTATAAAAAATTCCAAGTGAAGTTTTAAGAATTTTTGTTTTTCACTATAGTTACTTTAGAACTGATCCTTTTTCTGCTATTTATGTACGTAGTATCGGATAGCATTACTGTGATATAAACAATAAACGTTCATTTGTGAAGACCCAATATACTGCACGTTTTCATTTTTATATATATATATTTTTTTTTTTTTCATAAAAAATCAAATTATGGGTGAATATTCCCGAAGGACATCGCCCGCAAAAGAATTAGAAGAAGAATAAGAAGAAAAACTAATCAAATTATAGGTCAGGTATGTCAAATTATCCCAAATTTCTTTTTGTGATCCCACCATAATTTGCCCAAATCGGCCAGCAGTGTTGCACTTCCGGTCTCCTTGGTGGAACGGATTTTTAGTATGTTAAATATAGCTTATATCCTATCCAGTAAAATAATACAGATCAATGTAGCCACACCATCGCAATAGTATGAAAGCGATGTTATTTCAAATTCATCTTATTTAAATTTTTTATCAATCTACATGCGCAACATACCATCCACCATGTCCATACTATTACTGGGATTTTTTCAAAATAAGAAGTTGCTAACCTCGTAAAAAATGAAACACTGAAGGCCAAATATGATAATGAAACGATACATTTAAACTTATTTTATTAATTAGGATGTTCCATAAATAGGCAAGTTATTTTTAAGACGCTAAACAGTATTGATTTGATGTATTAGCAATTTTATTTAATATTAGAGGGGTGTATATAAGGACTTTGTTTATTATTATTTTCTTAGCCTTATACAATTTCATATTTCATGAATTTTCAGTTCTGTTTTAATATTTAAAACAAAAAATGTCTGACCCGGGTATAGTAAAGTATTCTCGAAAATATTCTTGTTCAGTTCCTAATTGTTTAAATAAGTATTATTCTAAAATTCAAAAAGTTGGATATTCAATTATTAAACATTTTTTCATTTTTCTTCCGATATTAGAATTCGCCAGAACTGGTTTAAGACTTTAAATTTAACTTTAGATAACAATACTCGCTGACTTTGTGCAGACCATTTTTGCCTGAGTCTTTTAGCAACGTTTTCTCAAAACGTAAACTGCTAGTTGGACATTCTGTACCAATTTGCAAATGTAAACCTAATAATTAGTGATGAACAATTTGAACGACCCTCGAAACGAAGAAAATAAATAAAAGTAGAAATTTAAGTTCTAAAGAGAGAAAGTTGTATTTTATTAATACTTGATAGGAGAAATTGTTCAATAAGACACTTTGTTTTGTTTTTATAGGAAACTCCGGACCCAAAAAAGATAGTCAATTTTTCATTTTCATATTCATTTTACTTACAATTATTATTTAATATTGAGCTCATTACTATGTATGTATTACTGTATATTAAATAGTTAAAATATATGTTTCAAATATTTTATTTTATTGTTAATATTTTTTGGGGTTTTATTACGTAAAAAAATAATATTTATGTAAAATACAATATTAGTTTTTTTTAGAGTAATGAATGTCAAAAAATGTAAATAAATAATAAATTAAATTTGAATGGACCGCGGTTTGCTTAAAGCTCTTCTTTTTTATTCTTCTCTTTCTTATTTAGCTTCCAATTGGCAAGTCAATCAGCCAGTGTAGTTAAAAAAAGTCTGTTCCATACTAATTCGCAGCACTATACGTTTCCAAAAATTAACACGGGATCCTACTATCTTCTATATTAATTTATCTATGGTTTTAACGAAAACACACAACCGGTCGTTACCGACATACCGAAAGCGGGGTTACGGAGGAGACTACCGCTGGACGTACATCACGTACAAGCGCGACCATACATACCTTTAGATTTTGAGACTTTAGACTCTCTTACTCTACTAATGTCTACCAACTAACCATGGAAATCCTGTCCCTTCTCCTATTTATCAACCGTAGACGTGCTCAGTTGGTACTTAACATCTATCTCGATACACATGTCTATACACTATAAACATAAAATAATATAATTTTACAATTATATATTTTTAGGTTCAGGAGATGCTACTGTAAAAAGAAAAACTTTTATATCAACTGCAAAATCAGGTAGATATACTGTAGATGTGTAATGCGTAGAGAGGAAATGGCAAATCATATAGTTATGTTAGGTTAGGTTTATTTACGAAAATTGTATGTTTTCAGAAGCAGCTTTAGTGAGAAAAATCAGTAGCGACGAAACAACAATGGCATCGTCGAGTTCAACAATAACTCTAAAATCAGGTAGACAAATTTTCGAATTGATTACTTTTCGATACAGTTTATTAGTGAATTTTTTAAAAATCTAAGGTAGGTAGTAAAAGAATAAAAAAAATGTTATCCTCTTAACGTTTGGATTTAAAATATTAAAGGAGATACCTAACCCTCGCAAAGGTTGAAATCTGTGATGACATATTTTAATAAGAATGTGCCACGTGGCCAAATTGATGTCAGTTGCTTAAAAATAACAATAATAACTTCAGTATTAACCCTAAAACACAGCTCATACTTAGGTTGTCATAAAAGATGCTAAGAACCGTAACTTTTATTAAATTTGTTTTACCAGATCACATCGGATACGGGTAATTGTTGAGAAGACTCATTATCATCATCATCATCTGAATTAGGGCGTGGTTCAAAGCCCACTTGTACTGAAGCTCTAGGCTTATTGTACCCCTAACAGTTTCTATCCCATCAGATTGATTTTCTTGATGAATTCAAGAATATGTCTGATGGGCGCTTTCGCGATTTCTTCAGGTTCCGGATATTGTACCCCGAAGTACAATTCCCGTTCCCATTTAAGGTTTCGACAGTGGCATAGTATGTGAATAGGAGTTTTGTCCTCCTCTTCACATATTCTGCATAGGGAGTCATCAGATATCCCTAAGAGATTTAGGTGTCTTCTAAGGCCGCAGTGTCCCGTAAGGAGTCCTATTACGGCCTTGAGTTCGCTTCTGCTAAGGTTTAGCAGTTGATGTTGTCTGCTCGTGGATGGCCCCTCTATGAATCTTTTGGACTGTCTAAGTCCAGGAAGTTCCATCCAGAGCCTATGGTGTTCTCTTTTTATTTGTTCCTTTAACACCTATTTAACATGTTGGTATGAGATACCACATGTGGGTTCTGGTCCAATAAGAGTTTTTTCCGCTCCCTTCCTTGCTAGGAGGTCTGCTTTCTCATTTCCAAACACTCCCTCATGTCCTGGCACCCATTCAAGGGTAACCTTGTTATGTTCTGCCAGAGCCTGGAGGGATTGTTGGCAATCAAATATTGACTTAGATTGTACTTCTACCCTTTTTAGTGCTTTAAGGGCTGCCTGACTGTCTGTCATGATAACGATTCTCTTATCTCTAAGAAAGACATTTAGCATGACTTTGGCGCAGGCATTTATTGCTGTTACTTCAGCCTGGAAGACTGTTGTCAGTGACCCCAGGTTTAAACTAATTGTCCTCCCTGAGTTCACATGGTAGATCCCAGCTCCTGTGCTGTATACCAGATTGATTCGTTTTGTTTTTTCCTTTTTTCCCGGCTTTTGGCCCTTTCTGGTATTTGAATATCAAAAGGTTTCCTGAAGTCGTGAGTAATGGGCGTTCTATCCGATGGCATTCTTAGTACCGGATTTTGTTTTAATTTCTCTAATATCACTGTGTGGTGTCCTTTTCTCGAAAGTTCCCATCCAAATCCATTAGTAGTCAGCCTGTATGCCTGTAAGACTCATTATAATTATGTTTATTTGTACCGCTTCCCTCCACAAAAATTTTATGTTAGTACCATTTTTACCATATTTTTCTACTTTTTTAAAATATATTTCAAAAAAAAAGTTGTGGTTATTTTTTATAATTACATTAAAAAAAATTAGATATTTTTTTATAATTAGCGAAAATATGTAATTTCCAAAAAAATCATAATTTTTATACTAATTGGTTTCTGAATTTTTTAAATCGAATAAAAAATAATTTTGAACTGTTTGCGCTGTTTTAGTGCTTCTATTCACTATCGGAGAACACAGTTTTAAGATTAAAAAAAAAACTTATCGTAGTCCACTTACTTTCAAAAATTGCTATTACAACCGACTAATAATATTTATAATTATTGATCAGATTGTTAATTTTTTTAGGATCAAAATCAGGACATGGAAAACAACACGAGGATACTACTGAAGGTATGGAAGTATTTATACCATATTTTAATTTGTAAACTAGTTAGTCCAGAAACGTATTGCCCTCGTATAGTGCGATACACAATGAGAAAGAAGTGTGAACAGGCGCGGCTTGTGAGTTGGTGTAGATGTGGGTCAAATTGTGGTTGGATAGTGCCGTAGGCAAAGCCGCCCTGACCCGTACTGCAAAATGCTTTGAAATGTTTTTTTTCTTTTGGTTTTTAAATGAAACAAATAAAAGATGTATTGGATAGTCAGAAAAAGAAAATTTTTAAAATTCATACACCGAAACACAAGACGAAAACCACTTAAAAAACGTAAACAACTTTAAGCCGAACCATTTGGTGAATATTATAGATATATTGGTCGGTCGTCGACATTTAGTTTTCTCTTTTCAACTTCAAAGCGGGCGCATATGCTGTTATATCTCTGTCTACTTGCAATGCATTTTTTCTTTTGAATTGCCTTATAACCCATATGTTCAATTTGCAATACCAAGCTGAGCTAAGCGCGCAGCGGAGAAAAATTAATTATTTTTAGAGATTTTTAATCTTGGCTCCATTGGTAACAATTGAGGAAATTTTGCAAGAAAATGTAGATTTTTGGTATCACAATTTATTTAAATTCAACTTTACAATAAATCAATTCAACTTTAACAAGAAGTATCCAACTGATAACATTAACGTATAACGTCAATCATAAAACTGAAAACTGACGTCACTATCATCGGCTTATATAGCTTGCTTGACCCTTCGCGAACCTTCTCGAAATATCTAGAATTTTCTTGACAAATAATGACGTTTCCCGATATTTCTGGACTATTCTATCTTCTTTTACTCGTACTTTTACTTATAATGATCGCAGCACACTATAGTATGATGGGTGACATTGCACTTCTTTTCGTATTTTACGTTTCCTATAACGGCCATAGGCCACTGCAGGGTATAGTTTAACAATAGTTTATTATTAAATGTTTAATATTGTTTGAAATAAATTAGTTTGGTCATTGACCAAATGACTTGATAGTGCAGCCGCATCTAGTCTTATGAAGCGCGCCCTTTGCCAGCCGTCGCTCTGCCCGGATCGGCCAACAAAGTCTGGTCTTAGGCAAATTTCGACACGGCTTTAAATTTTGTTTTTTAAAATTTGTATATTTAATAATAAATAATAAACAATGAATTTCAAAATTACAAATTTATAAGTTGACAAATAATAAACAAATTTTACGGAATAGATAAGTCGTTGTAAGTCATCGTTGAGGTCTTTTACTCTCAGAACTGACGCCAAAATTTACTCTTATAATGAGTTGTCTTTATCAGTCACCCTCATTTCTATAAAATTTGCAACGCATTTACGTCAATTTTGTTCAGTGACAAATGCTTCAGCTATCAACCCAGATATCACACCAAATCCTTTGTACCTATATCTATTGAACATCCCAATATCCACTGAATGTCCAGTCCATGGTGGATATCTATTTTATATCCATGAGCTGTAATTTATAGATATGCAAATGTCCATAAATAATAGTAATTACAGTTCATCAAATTTCTAGAGGCTTTCGACGGCTAGACAGAGAAAGCACTACTGACAGGCATCCCGACGGATTTACGCAATGAAAGTACACTCTGCGCATCAAGTATTTCACTATTTCATTCAGACGTAAATGTCAGATGTAAATTTCGCTAAAACATTTCTTTTATTTTCGTTTGTGTTTTTTGCTCATTACAGTTTAATAGAACCTAAGTATGGAGTTTAATAGCAAATTAAGAGGCAGCGTGATTAACAGTCAATCTCGCGAAATAATAGCCAATGTTATAGAGTTTATGAGAAGAGAAGGAAACTTTAATTCACCTTCAATACCATTTAAAAATGTAAATGATCGTGTTGCTGCAGCCACAGGAGTATCTAAAAACACTGTCGTCCGCATTTCTGGAGAGAAAAAAAGAATCGATAACCGTGAGATATCGGAATTTTCATCACCAAGAAAAACCATTAAAAAACCAAAAACAGTTAATGATATAGATGAAGCTGCACAAGAATCAAATTTTATTTTTTTATTATTAGATAGCTATTTTTGTTTCTGAGTTGTGTTCATTTACAGGCTCAATTTTTTTCCGTTTCTCCTTTTTGATTTTATATGGGGTTTCAAGTTGTTTTTGACTTATTTCGACGTAAATCACTTTTTTAATAAAGCAAACAAGTGTTAAGAGGTATATGTACGTGTAAACTACAATTACAAAAAATTGATATGAAACCCATGAAACCACCAACAAAAATGTAAAGCTAGCTTCCGTACTAGAACATGGTGTCATTCGTCGAGATAATTTATCGTTTTGTTTAATAGATCAAGAAATGTAAATATTCCCCTGTTATTTTTTATAAAATTATAAGAGAAATAAATTTTTTTCTAAATAGTATAGTTTATTATTTTGTAGAAAAACAAAATTTCGAAAATTTTAGTAATGTTTCAGAAACAACCGTTATTAATAATAGGTACCATTTTCCTTAATAAGGTAGAAATAAAATATAAACTATTTCCACGATTTACAAAGGCCTACAAAAAAATTATAGGTATTTTCCGCTATCCTATAAAATTTCAAAAGGTTGAAGGAATTCCAAAACACCTTTTATGGCATAATAATTATTTTCAATTCTACATACTATCTTTAGCTGCTTTTAAAAACGTTCTAAGAAAGTCCAATCAGACCAATTTAATCCCTAAACTATTCCACACTTTTAAAATTTAATTACCTAAAAATATTAAAAACTATTTAAAATAACTTGTTTAGCAGACTGTACAATAGCTATCTTAGTCACACGTAGCGCGTTCTCTGTCTGGGCGTCGAACACCTCTAGAAATTTGATGAACTGTATATAGCAAATTATTAAAAAATTACGCCATTTTGCTCGCCATTGTGGCTAATAGTACCGTTCAGATATTTAAAATTAATTTTTTAAGGTGTATTCAATATCCCATGGACATCCACTAAATATATCAAAGTCTAGGCGCGAACGCAAACCATCGTGGATATCCCTAGATGTAATTTTTGATTTTGCTAACTAAGTATAGATGGCGATACTACTTTCGCATCTACTCATGCTCAACCCGCCGTAATTGAGTTCGATCGAAATTTGTTTTACAATCAGACTCCATTAGAGACTGGAGTCGAGAACTTCCATTTTTTACTGAAGAGTCCTAATGAGGATAACTTTCTCCTTAGTGGGCAAAATCAAAGGCAGAGTGTTGAAAATATTTTGAGTGTTGAAAATATTTTTTATCTCTGCTATTTTCTTTCGACTTTATTCAATAATCATTTTTTACTTATGAACCTCTACTAAAGATACCTATAAAATATTTTGCTGAATATCCGAATTCTTCTATATCCTGGGATATAGACGGACATTTGGTTGGATATCCATATTGGATATCCACATAATATATTCTGTGGATATCTCTGGGATTTCTTGTATTGTCTGGAAGATACTCATTAGATATTTAGCTGGATATCTATATGATATCTTCTATATTCTGGATATAGACGGACATTTGGATATCCATATTAGATCTACGGAATATTTCTGATATCCTGTGGATATATTGGATATCCACAAAAGATATTCTGTGGATATCTCTGGGATTTGGTGTATTGTCTGGGAATGAACGAATAACTTGTGTCTTGAAATCAAAGTTGTTCATAGCAATACAGCGCTTTACCAGATTCCATACCATCTCGATTGGGTTAAGATCGCGGTGATACGGTGGTAAATCAGTTACCCCGTATTTTGCAACTAGTTTCCCAATCTTTTATTTGTCATATTGCTCTCTGTATACGTTGGCAACTTCAACTAACAAATATGAGTCGTCAAAGAAAATGTCTTTTTAAACAGCCAATTTTGTTTTCAAATTTTTTCCAAGAGGTAGCTGAGAAACTAAATTTACGGGAATGATAAAAAGCATTATCCATAAAACAGAAATATGTTAAAAATTTAACATATATGTGTTACTTTTATTCCTAGGATATTAACATGTACTAATATTAATACCTAGGTTTTAAAACTTGGCATATAAGAAACTATGAATTTTGATTGTTTAATTCAACTTATAATGCAAAAAAATTATAAAAATGAACCATTTTGAAAGTACTCAAGTTTTTTTAACAGTAGAAATAACACAAATTGTATTTATAAATTATATTTGTTTATAGTATATACAGAGTGAGGCACCGAAAACGAAATAGATCGCATATCTTGAAGACGCATTTTTTTTGGAGAAAATGCAAAAAGACTGTGACTGTGACATGTGACAGTTCAAATAAGCGTATTGTCTTGTGCAAGCCAAATTTAAAAATTGAACTTACTACGCCTATGTTTTCGTAAAATAAAAATAAAGGTTTTTATTTCCATAACTACCAGGTCTGTTTTTTAGTTTAGCATCATTGATACTTTAAGTCTATTAGCGAGTAAAACATAAAAATGGTTTATTCTATTCAGGAGAGAGTAGAAATTGTTGAATGTTATTTAAAAAATAACGAATGTGCTAATACTGTCTGTACAATTTTCAATGAGCGGCACCCAAACAAACAGGTTAAACGTAAATACGTTTTGGAACTTATTTTAAAATTTCGACAAACAGAATCTGTTCAAAATAAAAAACGGCAGATTCAAAATCCAGTTAGAAACGAAGCCGTAGAGGTAGCCGTTTTAGGATAAATTGTTGCAGATCCAACTCTTAGTACAAGAAAGCTTGCAGAATTATCTGGAGTAAGTGACCGTACCGTCAGGAGAATTTTGAAAGCCAACAAATTCCATCCCTATAAAATTCATTTAGTTCAGGAACTTAACGAAGACGATTTTGATCACCGCTTGCAATTTTGTGAAATAATGAGCGAGCATGCTATACAAGTTCCACATTTTCTTTATAACATTTGTTTTTCAGATGAATGCAGTTTTTATGTTAACGGGACTGTCAATCGACATAATTGTCGATACTGGTCAGATTCCAATCCAAGAGTATTTCATGAAATGTATACTCAACACCCAAAAAAGTTAAACGTTTGGGCTGGAAAATTTGGCGATCGTAGTGTTGGTCCATTATTTTTACCATGTACTTTAACTGGGGATATGTATTCGGAATTACTCGAAAACACCGATGATCCACTGTTATATTAGATATATTAAAAAACGATAACCGATACCTTGAAGATCACCTAATATTTCAACAGGACGGGGCTCCTCCACATCTTGCTGCAGCGGTTGGTGAGTACTTAAATAAAAACTTTCCTAGACATTGGATTGGACGAAGAGGATTTCTTGAATGGCCCCCACGATCTCCTGATCTGTCCCCCTTAAATTACTTTTTATGGGGATATCTGAAAAGTAAAATATGCGCTACTCAGCCAGGTTCCTTAGAAGAGTTACGTGAACGTATTATTACCGAATGTCGTCAAATAACTCCAGAAATGCTCCAAAACGTCAGACAAAGATTTGAGAATAATTTATATTCGTGTATGGAAGTTAATGGACAACACTTTGAGCATTTACTTTGAAGTAATTTAGTTTTTAATTATGGGAGTTGTCCTAAATTTTTCAAATTAATTTTTATATTCACTTTTCTATTTTTTAAATTTTTATTATAAATTGTCTATTAAATGAGTTTTACTTTCAAGTGAAGTATCATTATTTAAAATACGGCAACTTTTCCCGCAAGATGGCGCCAAAATCAAAAGTTACGTAATAAACTGTCACACAATCAAATTCCTAATAAAATTACCTTTTCAATGATATGTCACACTTAGTACTTTCCTTATTTCAATTTCATTGGTAATAGTGACAGAGGGGTGGGGAGGGATGTAGGATAGTTGAGGACATGATCGAAAGATGTCCTCTTTGAAATAAAAATCGACTTCTTTTTGCATTTTCCCCAAAAAAAAATGTGTCTTCAAGATATGCGATCTGTTTCGTTTTCGGTGCCTCACCCTGTATAAACTTTTTGCAGTTAATAATTGATTTGCCGTAGAAGGACTCTATTATAAGGTTAATGGCGTTAGTTTTGTTTTTATCGAAAATTGATGGCCTCCCAAATAGTTTATAAAGTATATTCGGCCGCTACTTTTTTCAATATTCTTGTGCAAAAATATATAGATACAATAAATATGACAAAAGACATAACATTTATTTGACAGATCTTGAAACTTTACCATACACTTTTATAGCAAATTTAAACTACTTTTAATGCGTTAATTTTATTTTTACAGAATTACGATTTATGTTAAAATCGTAAAATTTAACACCCGTTAAAAATAAACATATTGAATTACAGCAGTGTGTTGTACCGACATTTTTATCCCTTGACGTAAAGTGTGTATTAATTTTTTTGTATTAGTATTTGCAAATTTAAGTCACTTAAAAGCGAAGAAAAACTTTTAACACTCCTTTTACAATTCATAAAGGCTGTAACGCCTTCTTAAAAGTTTTTTTTCAACGCAGTAGTGATTTTCATAGTGGTCTTTTTTTATTCAGTCACTTCTATTTTCTTCTTTTAGGTTAAAGTCGTATTGAAAGATTTAGAGATATCGTTTGCTTTTTAATAAGAGAGGTTTTGGCGGTATCGTCTACTATTTACGGGAAGGGTTACGGCAGCGATCGGGCCAAAATCTATTCGGGATTCTGGGTGCTGTTCACAAATATGCGTACCGGTCTCCCATTAGAAATACATTGTTTATGCCTGGCCATTAGAGGTGTGTCGTTCGCGAACGATTCGTTCAAAAAGAACGAATCAGTGCACTGACTCGAATGAATTAATTCCCTGTTTTTAAAAGATTCGAATCTTTTTTGAGTCAATTGTTCGACGGCTCTGTGATCGATCAAGAACGCCCAATTCCGAGTTTGGTTGTTTCGTTCATTCGGATCTGATTCGAAGATTCGGTATTTTAAATCAGCATCGGCAAATCGGTCGCTTTTGTTCTACGTTCTACAGCATAATACAAGAACTCGAACTTACAGGCGGTGGCGGTATGTGTCTGTAATATTTTTCTCACTTTACCAGAGGTGTATTAAACTTTTAGGTAAACAATTTATGCGCGTTGTCTGATAAATAAATTTAAATCAAAGTAAATAAGTAAAGCAATAAATGACGAATAATATATCTATAATTTTTCGTTAGTTTTGGCTATATTTAGCATTAAAAAAAATTGTGTTACTGTTGTTTATCTTAACGGACAAGGATGAACCTACTATTATAGTATTTAAATTTCCATCTGTCTTCTTTTTATGAAATATTAATTCGCTATACTTTAAAATATCAAATTAAAATAAAACCGGTATTAATTATTTTACTTAAGCATCTCACCACTCAAATCATTACATTCTTTCTTACGCATTACAGACTGAACGCCACTCGACGACCTAGTAAATAGGTAGTTCTCAAATTCGTAAACGTTCGGTTTGATTTCCTTCGACGGATCGGCGGAATAACATCGTTCGTGGTTCGCTAAAGTGAATCACTTGAGAACGAATCTTTAAGAACGAATCTTTTTAGGTGAATGAATCAAATGAATTAATTCAGTAAAAAGATTCGAACTTCCCACCTCTACTGGCCATACTACATTCTCAGTGTGTCCCGAACTATTGTAATGGGAAGATATTATCCTAACTAAAACACTGTTATCTCCAACACTAATTCACAGAATTTTTGATTTCTATTATATTATAATTTTTAAGATTTAATTTGAATAATCTCATCACAAATGATAAGGTGAAACTTAATTGCTATATTACTTCAATTTAGAAGTTACTTAAAGGGGCTAGTTTGCAATTAAAAACAGTTTTATTAATATTATTAAATTTTTAGTCCCAATAAGTCCGTTTAAAGATAGCGGCATTCCTACATCAACAAAAAGCAGTAAGTCATTTTATTTTCTTATTTATTTTCGCGGGTACGAACACAATCATCAGATATTGAGAACAGCTGGTTCCATACAAAGAAGTGAAGGGTGTAGAATGATAAGGTACCGTCTGCGCATCCATGAAGAGTGTAGAAATTGTGCATGATTCAACCTTGCACTCTTACACACGTAAGTGACAAGGAGAGGTTGCCCCAAACCACAGTAAACAAATTCTAGGTTTGGCTTTATTCAGCCATTATGTTCATGTTCAACTTTTTGTATGTTTGTGTTGTGGGTGTTGTACGTTTTTTTAACGTCGGTTCTTTATTGGCTTGCTTATATTTGTGATTTGATTTTGATTTAGTAATAAATTGTACCTGTTATTTCCTGATGCACTATTTTGTAATTGTTGCACAAAATGTTCTTAAACCGTCTCTAAATCTTGTTTACAAAATGTGCAAAACGAAATTGTGCATAGTGTCTGTACTTTTTCATTGACCGTTATCATTCTACCCCTTTCTTCCATAGCCTTTGTACGCCGAATTCCACTATAAACCAGAATTTTCACTCTGCTCTGTATTTGTATTTGTTATAGGTCATAGTACGACAGTAACGACAGATTCCGATGATTTTAGCAAAAATGAAAAAGGCTTAACCTTTTTAAAAGGTAAACATCCGGTTTTAACAAAATATCTCTAGATTTCAGCTTTACCATTTTTTTTTGTAGAACTTTCAACGGATTTTAAAATTGAAAGAAAAAGAAGCGGCGCTATATCTGTAATCAAAGAAGTTTCTGAAGGAACGTCTTCATTGTCAGGTAGGCGTACTTACTATTGAAGCCAGTTCTTATTTTACACAGACCTCGTTAGCAAAATTACAATATGATCGAAAAATTAAAAAAAGAAATCTGGATATTGACAACAGCGCCAGCTATCAGGTCAAACTATAGCTAAGAACCATCCAGGTGACCCCATAAGTACAAAAAAAAAATCAAAATCGGTCAAAACTCACACATGCATACCGGAATTTAATACATAAAAATATATAAAAATAAAATAGTGGAGAGGTACCTGAATTCTTAAAACCAGCATAGTAGAAAGACCAGACACTTGAGATTTAGAAAGGTATTGCAGGAAGGATATTGGATATTCTTTGATTCTTTTTATTTTAGTACATCTCTAGGACCACTAGGACTCAAACATGAACTGCAGCCTGCAAAGCTAATTGTGCCATAATTTAACAATGTTATGCCTTACTAATTAGGTTTTAGATGTTCAAGCGCTAGTCCCTAGTATTTTTAGCAGCCAATTTTATTATTTCTCTTTTTCAGAAACTGAAACTAAAGAAATTTTATCTCCTAAAGGCAGACAAATGTTCAGTACATCATCTGGTAAGTTGTCAAAAAAAGACCATCTACTTAGAATAATAATAATTATCTACCTAAATTATTATCCCATTTGAACCAGAGTAACTATAGTAGAAGTTTTTTCAATACGTTTTTAAAATAGGTTTAAAATACGTTTTTTAAAATAGGTATAATATTTTTAAAACAATATTTTTGTTTTTTTTTGTTTTTTTTGCAATTTCTGTATTAATTGGATTTGTTACTGCTCATATCTAATTTCCTGTGGCTTACCTGAATTTCAATTTTTTAGTTCGAGCGGTTTCTCTTTTAATAATGTGTCTAAATGAACGGTACAACTACTGCAGAATTAGTACGTTTTGCGAAAAGCATCCATTAAACTGTCATTTGTTTGCTGGAACCATTGAGGTAGTATTATAGGGAGGTGCGATCACGTGGTCAAAACCGGCATCAGTTCGCCATATTGATGCGACACTTACGTTAAATAGATGTTGCATTGTAATTGCATTGATGTGATTTGTATAATCAAGTTTTCGTGTTTTTATTTGCTTTTTGTGGGATATTTAAATAATACAGTAAAATACAATAATTGGTTCATGTGCTCTTCGTAACTGCAATAGCAGGAATGCAATTTAATATACAAAATAATAACAATAAACAGGCTAGTATTTCATTTATTTTTATATTTTACATATTTAAATAGTCTCTGAGTTAACACATTTTACGGTAATTATTTCATATACTTACGATTTTCTGTTATTTTATTATTGTTTAGATTTCATTTTATGCTGTGCAAGTGTTAAATTTTGTCCGTATAACAGAAAATGGTTGGAAACCCAATATGAAACTGTTAAATATTTTAACTAACAAATAAAGCCCAAATAACACATCTTTTAATTTTAGAAGAAAATTTTGATAGTAAGTTAAATGAATTATTTGGCACACCGTTTGTCAGAATTTTCTAAATTTATTATTGCCCACATAGCGGCATATATTGTTCAATTTTTAAAGAAAAAAATATTTTATTTTGATTATATATCCGCTTCGACAAGTGACACGAGGTTTTGTATCTATTCACTTTTGTAGATCTGTATCTGCAACGTGAATAGTGTGAGCTAAACCACGACAGTTAGTGCTTCTAGGCCATTTGTGCATCCTCCTAAGTAGATAGGCACCTCCTAGCTCGTGAGTCAGCCTACAGATTTAATACAGTTGACAACGTCGCTAAGAGGTGCTTCTTTTATATCGGCCGGTGTTAGCCAATTCTTGGCGAACACAAATATATGATCATTGTTATGGAAACTAGTTGAAAATAAATTACAAAATTGATGTTAATTGGAGATACTGGAAATTTAAGAAAATTAAATGTAGCATCGCAATGTGCTTCGAGTGGTTGCCTGTTAAAAAATATTTGCTGTTCTATACCCTGCTATTTATATTTAAAATTAAATCAGGAATCTCCCCAGTATATTTACAAAATATCTAAAGTTATAAGCAGGGTGTTTATGAACACAATACACGAAATAAGTAAAATTTTAGAATTTATAAGGTTACGAAAAAATGTACACAAAATTCAGTTTTTTTTTAAAAGGTGCATGTACAGGCTTTTAATAATTTGCCTGAATATATTAAATGGCATGTAGCAATATTTAAAGAAAACTGCGTGAGTATTTGTTGACCAGTTGATGTTTTTTTTATTATGTTTTGTAAAGTTATTATGTTATCATTTTACATGTAGGTACGTTGACTGGATAATTATGTATTTTTATTTTATTTTAAATGTAAAGATATGTAAAAAATTAGTTTTTTTTTTACCAAATAAACGATTTAGAATATATAAACACTAAAATATTATAAATGCTGGCTCAATAACTTATAATCTCTTGTTTAGGGGTAACTCATTAAAAGCCAGAAGCCCCTTAAAAGTTACTGAATTTTGGGAATATTTACCTGCAACTTGCGGAATATAAATAGATATTAGATCTATTTCTTATGTTATAGCTATTATAGTCAAGGTTGATAATTGATTTTATCAAGCAAATAAATGTTAAAGTTAAGTAGAGAAAATAAAATTTACTTTAATAATTGCACAAAAAATTGCAAATACATGAGAATAAGAAAAAATAGGCAAACAGGAAACACATTAACACATGAACGAATGATTTTGGAATTTGACACAGCAATATCGTCGAATGTACATTTGGCAACGTCTGTAAACAGAGCTACATTTAGACGCTCCTCAGGTGCGCCCCACGGTTCGACGACATTGTTCATCTTGTTCATAAGCAATGTATGCTTTTTGTACTTGGTTTTGACTGTTTTATAGACAAAAATAAAATATATTACAATATATCTCAACAGGTGTTATGAAGATATGTATTCAAAGCGATAAAATTTGAAAAAACACTGTTATCTCTAAATCATATAAGCAAATGTTAGCCGCATCTGGAGTCAATATAGTTTTTACACAATTTGCAAAAGAAATACTTTTTCAAATTTACCCACTAGTAAACGGTTATGATCAATCAGCATCGGATAACCATCGGGTTTTGTTAATAGAAGCTGAGGCAGATAAATACACGTAAACGTTAGGCATTTGTTTAAAGGACAATAAATTTGTATTTCTTAATGTGTTTTATGACCCTAGTTAAAAAAAAACTATTATTCAAAATATGGTTAAATACTGATAATTTTAGAGAGTCAGGACCTGACGAGGCATCCATATTGTTACGACTCGTAAGCCACGCACAGTGCGACGTTTTATCTGTATGCGAAATAATACTTTATAATATTACCACAATAACTTTCTGCGCATGACCGTGACGGTACAACATCTGGAACAAACCTACCATTCCTCCAAATGAACTAAAAACATGTTTACGTTAGCACAATCACAAAAGCATAATAATAATCCAATCAGTTGATTGTTATTATTAAAATAGAACTTAGTATTGATTAAATTATTGTAGCTATTACTTTTTTTTAATAGATTCAATTAAAGATACATCTACAGAAGAAAAAAGTTGTGAAAAGGCTCTGACTGCTACAGAGTGGAACGTACAGAAAGGTATTTTGTTATATTTTTCTAGTAAACCGAATAATTTAAACGAGTTTTAATATTTTTTTTGGTAAGCGAATTCATCAGCTGACAGATTACGAGCACTTTTCCGAACCTATTCGAGTAAGGAAGAAAATTGTGGTAAGTATAATATCGGCAAGTGAATATTTAAATTTTTAATAATATTGTCCATTCAAACAGAACAAGAAAAAAGGAACAGCGGCTCTAAATCATCGTACACCGATTCTTTGTTGGAACAAACCGATAGCGGATCAGGTAAAATTTTAAAATACCTGTAGACTATGAGTAATTTTATGTCGTCTGGATTACTCGCGAGTAGTAGTAGATCTGTTTATGATTCTGACTGAACGGTTTTTTTAACGGTGCGTGTTGATCTGGAGCGATTCCTATATGTTCCCCCTTTACCCCTCCCGCACTTGTTCGGTATCAGGTGCATTTGTAGAACGTTATTAGTCATTCTTTTTTGACGTCATAGTGTTTTTTATACCAAGAACATTAAACCATTAAAAAGAATGTGCAAAAATATGTATAAAAAATACCAATAATTGAAGGAGTAATTATTAACAGGCTACTGAACTGGTCAATCAAAGCTCATCTACAAAATATAAGTTATCTATGTCTGCAATTTTATTTTAATAATTTAATAGCAAACTAACTTTTGGTGTGTGATAGTGTGACAGGTTTCTGGTTTCACCTATAGTGAATCAGGAAGTCTATGACGCTAGGCTGATGAATTCAGAATAGGGGTTGCTCGGGCGTCAGTTTTGGTAACACAGTCTGCTGTGCGATCCTATAGTACACCAAGGGCCCTATTGTCGAATGTCTATTTCTAAATGTCACACGCGACATTGATAAAATGTCGAATAGGAACGCAAAAACGTATTCTGGAATGACGAATTCGACATTTGTTGTTAGACAAAGTCGAGTGGTATTCAACCAGTCGACATTGTAATGTCGCATGCCTTTTTAAATATAATGTTATATTATGAGTGTCGTAACAGTGACAGTTTATATTTATTTTTAAGAGAAATGAAAATAAGTATTGTACAAATTGTTTTTAAAAATATATGAAATGATTATTTACAATTTCACCTAATTTATCAATTATTAGTCATGTCCAGTGTCGGATTCGGCCGTCGGTCTACCGGCAAAAGACAGATAGGCTTTCGTTTAAGCTGTGGGCCCTCTTACAGGCAGTGGGCCCTCGTTCGGGTAGTGGATCCTCGTTCTGGCAGTGGGTCCTCGTTTAGGCATTGGGCCTCAATCAGTGGGCCTTAATCAGTGGACTTCATTCAGTGTGCCTAAGTTAGTGGCCTCAGTTTTTATGCCCTTGAGAATAAGAAATGCGAAGTAACCATTGGAAAGTGGGCCCTTTTTGCTCTTCAGGGAATCGGTTATGAAAAAAATGTATAGGTGGACCTTCTCCGTTTTGACCGGTAGGCACTGGAAGTCCCGATCCGACACTGCTCCTGTTTCTCCAAGAGATTTAATACCTGTCATTAAAAAATTTATATAGCTCTATTTTTCAAATTGCAGGTAAAAAGATTAAATCACAGACATTTTGTGTAATGTTTAGATTATTATATTATATTATTATAATAATATATTTCTTCTTCTTACTATTTAATCTCTTATGAAATTTTAGTTAAAAAGATTATATTATATTTTCTCTACTTTCTAATTAGAATTTATCAAAAAGACATTTATTTGGGATATCTTTTCAGTATTATTTTGTATTACTAAGAGATCCTTCAAGTAATTGTGTGCTGTAATATACTCGTCCTGTATGTTTCTATCCAATGTTGCCAGATGTTACCATTCGCCAAATATGTCACCGATTACAAAATGTTGATTTTCCTTTGAGAATATGGATATTGTCAGTCGATTGACATTTTAATAGACATTAGCAGTAGACATTATGACGAATGCGACATTTTTAATAGACATTCAAGAATAGGGTCCCAGAGTGTACTCAAGATATACTCCAGGCGGTCACTTCTAAAGGTAGCCACTAAATTAAGATTAAGACGTATCCCCCTTATACCTCGTACCCTACGGTACCCTGAAAGAACGTGGTTAAGATACGGTAATAAAAGAAACACAGAGATAAATAACAAAATATACAGGGTGGGCCACTTAAAAGTTCCACCCCCCTTATCTTCGTTATTCATTGAGATATCAAAATGATTTTTTTCTTGTTTGAAAGATTAGAAAAAATACTTTCTTACGATGGATTCAATTATTTTGTGACGGCATGGCTTACTTCCGATTTTTCCGGAAATAACAGAAAACCGTAATTTATTTTTTATTTTTAAATTGAAACCTACTTTTTTATTGTAAATTTGGATCTGGGACATTTTTGTATAATAATCGTGTATTGAAAATTTTCTGACAGCTTTCAAAATGGCCGCCATATTGGATAATATTTGTTCTAAACATGTTACTATTAATTCGTTTATGGAAAAAAAATATAGGAATGTATGATCTTTATAAAATCTTTGTTATCTTCAAAATTCCCATTGAGAGCCATTTACCGTATACCAGTGGCGTATTTTTAATATTAGCAAACCGTTTAATAATTCCATCCGCTTTTATCTTCGTTGGTAATTGAGATATCGGAATGAAAACTTTTTTGTTTAAAAGCTTATAACAGTTAATTTTATATACTGAATTTAATTGGTCTGTGACGTCATGGCTTACTTTGGATTTTTCCGGATATAACTTAAATTCGCAATTTTTTTTTTATTTAAAATGGAAACCTCTTTTCTGTTGAAAATTTGAATTACAGGGACAATATTGTACAAAAAGCGTATATTAAAATTATACTGACAGCTGTCAAAATGGCCGCCATATTGGATAATATTTTTTATAAACATGTTACTATTAATTCGTTTATGGAAAAAAAATATGGGAACGTATGATCTTTATAAAATCATTGTCAGCTTTAAAATTCCTATTTAAATCCACTTACAGTACACCAGTGGCGTATCTAAGCATTTTTATTATTAGCAATAATAATAATAATAATAATAATAATACTCTCCCTAATTCACCCCCTTACGAGTGAATTTTAACCCCAAAAGCTGAGCTTGTCCGGGGAAAGGGACGGCTATTATTATTATTTGCCGTGGCGCTCCGGGGCGACTTAAAGATGATTGATGGTGCCATTTGACTTACAGGTGAGGAAAACCCGGAAAACCTCACCCACCATCATCGAGACGGTAATGTATGGCGAATTTTTTTAATCTGCATGTCATATCAACAGAAATTGAATTTCTATTAATACGCCACACATCAAATCCTAAACCGAACCATGCAATTTAATTAAAAATCCACATGGTCTGGTCTGGGATTCGAAACCCAGCAGTCTCAGACTCATAAACTTGCCTATAAATGAATATAAGCGCGATAGACCGCTACACCACCGTGCCCGATTCGTTTAATTCGTTTAATAATTCCATCCGCTTTTATCTTCGTTGTAAATTAAAATATTGGAACGAAAACTTTTTTGTTTAAAAGCTTGGAACAAATACTATCATATACTGGATTCAATTGGCCTGTGACGTGTGTTGAAAATTTTCTGTCAGCTGTTAAAATGACCGTCATATTGGATAATATATTTTTTAATATGTTACTGTTAATTCGTTTATGGAAAAAAGTATGGGCATGTAAACCATTTTTGTGAGCTTCAAAATTTCCATTAAGACCCATTTACATTGTACCAGTGGCGTATCTAAGATTTTTGTTAATGCAAACCGTTTAATAATTTCACCCGCTCTTATATTCCTTATTAATTGAGAAATCGGAATAACAACTGTTTTGTTTAAAAGCTTGGAATAAATAATGTCGAATATTATCGGCTTGCATTTTAATGAGACAGTCGATAAACTAGCAAAGGAAAGCATCGATACTAGTCAAATTCTTAAAAATAATATTAGCATTGACGAATGCATAAGTCATTCTAGAAAGAAGTTAAAAGAACGATGGAACCTGTACTGGATTTAATATTGTAGAAACAAACCAACCCGTTACACCTTACTCCACCCAGTTATACCTAACGAATTGTGGCATAAGAATTTAAAGTACCCACGAAATAGTATTGTAACGATCAATAGAATCAAATTTGGACATGCTTGTTACCCTTATCCTTTACACAAAATTAAAGTTATAGACTCCAACCTTTGCGACAGTTGTAGTGTGATTAGTGATTTGGATCATATATTTTTCAGTTGCAAAAAGTATAACATTCAAACACAGCAACTTTTTAGCCAGCTACTAGCAAATGGCATTTTAGCCCCATTTAACTTGTCGCTGAACGATTCAGCAGTATACGAAGCCCTATTGGGTTTTATCAAAGCTTGCGGCTTAAAACTATAGTATAGGTTAGTTTTGTACCCTTTGTTTTTGTCAACCTAAATATTGTACAACCTTTCTTAACCGAGGTCCTCTCAATCTGTGCGTCAGTCACCCTGATAGACCCCTGGGTGTGAAATGTGTTTACCCAATTCCATACTCCTTATTGTAGGGGGTTTTGTTTCTCTGGAATAGATAGGGTTATTAGACAGGTACGATAAAACTTAATATTATTGATTCTGGCTAAATGGAAAACATATCCAACAGCCATAAAAAAAAAATGTCGAATACTGCTTCAGCTGAGCTGTGACATCATGGTTTACTTCCAGTTTTTTAAAAATAACAGTAAATCGCAATTTATTTTTTATTTTTAAATCGAAATCCACTTTTTTATTGAAAATTTAAATTTCTTGAACTTATCAATGTTTATGGTGGATATTGTTTTATTATATTGATTCCTTAAATCTTTTTGATGAAATTAAGCTACTCTTAAATTTAAAATAAAAATAAACATTTAAAGTACATTATGCGCACTACGGAGTGCATAAAGTTTTACGTTTTTCACTAGTGCGTATAGTAAAACTTTTTACGCACTAGTGCGTCAACAAGACACAATTTTTAGTATTTTGACATGACATTTTATTTCAAACTTTCTTTACGCGTTAGTGCGTAAAGTAACCTTTGTATTTTTAATCTTAGTGGGCAATATGTACGGTAGTAGAAATATCGTATGAAAAGGCCTTTTTAAAGGCCACTTTATACACTTATTATAAGCATAAATAACTATTTTTTGTTATTTTATTTATCAGTAGGTAGTTGACTGATGTAGTGGTTACAAGCGCTGAAATCGTATGAATAAAATAAAAAATTAATTGCGATTTACTGTTATTTTCCAAAAACCG